TTGAATGTGCTTCTTTTTTTTTTTTTTTTCCCCCAGTCCTGGGGCTTGAACTCTGGGTCTGAGCACTGTCCCTCAGCTCTTCAGCTCAAGGCAAGCATTCTACCACTTGAGCTACAGCGCCACTTCTGGTTTTCTGGTGGTTTATTGGAGAAAAGAGTTTCACAGACTTTCCTGCCAGGGATAGCTTTGAACTGTGATCCTCAGATCTCAGCCTCCTGAGTAGCTAGGATTACAGGCACGAGCCACGGCGCCCGGCTACTTTCTTTTTTTTTGGGGGGTGGGGAAGGCCCAGTCATGTGGCTTGAACTATGGGCCTGGGCACTGTCCCTCAGCTCTTCAGCTCAAGGCTGGCGCTCTACCACTTGAGCCACAGCGCCACTTCCGGCTTTTTTCTTTTTGCTTATGTGTGCTGAGGAATCTAACCTAGGGCCTCATGCATGCAAGGCAAGCGCTCTACCACTGAGCCACCTTCCCAGCCCCTGCTTTGCTTCTTGAGTAGAGCCACCACCACAGCTTTGCCAGAGGAGTGCTTTGTGGGCTACAAGCTGAGCTGAGTGAGATTTCAGAAGTCATTGTGTGTTCTGTATCCACAGAGCACTTGACAGAAGGAGGAAGTGTCTTAAGAATCAGACAGGGGACCTGGGAAGGTGGCTCAGTGGTAGAGCGCTTGCCTTGCATGCATGAGGCCCTGGGTTTGCATGCATGAGGCCCTGGGTTTGATTCCTCAGCACCACATAACCAAAAAGAAAAAAGCCGGAAGTGGCGCTGTGGCTCAAGTGGTAGAGCGCTAGCCTTGAGCTGAAGAGCTGAGGGACAGCGCCCAGGCCCAGAGTTCAGGCCCCACGACCCAACCCAAAAAAAAAAAATGAGAGACAGCACCCAGCCCCTGAACCCATGCCCGACGCCCAACCCAAAAAAAAAAAAAAAAAGAATCAGACAGGGATTATGTAAAATGGGTACTGTATGTATGGTGACTGGTGAATATATCTCTTAATGTATTGGAAAATTTCCATTTTATTCAAGAAATCTGTTCTATGTTTCAAGACTTGATTAAAGAGGACGTTTTTATAATTTTTAAAAAAAGCAGAGCTAGAGGCATGACTCAAGTGATAAACTAACAGTCAAGCAAGCAAATCAAGTGAGTGAAAAGGCTCTGAATTCAAACCCTAGTACAGCAGATAGATAGATAGATAGATAGATAGATAGATAGATAGATAGATAGATAGATAGATAGATAGATAAATAGATAAATAGATAAATAGAGATAGGATAGGTAGGTAGACAGACAGATATCAGTAAAGAGAGGAAAATAAGGGAGAGCAGAAAAAGAGCACAGGCCCTGAGTTCAAAGCCCAGTACTGCTAATTCATAACCTGCAATATGGAATTGTAAATTCTTGGTACAACTACTTAATTTTTTTTACCAAAAAGAAAGAAAGGGAGGGGGGAGATGTGAGATGGGAAAGAAAGTGGAAAGGAGGGAAGATCTTTACAATGCTAACAACTTGGACTTATATAATGCCTGAAGTTTCAAAATACATAGTATATTCAAAAGTTACCTGGCTTTAAAATGCAAAGATAGCAGCAAGGTTTTGTAGCGGATATAGATTATCTATACTAAAGTCACACTGATGACACATGTGCAGAAAAAAAGGAATTGTTTTCAAATCATCAAAATATTACTTACTGTGCATTTTCTTGATACTTTTGGATAATGTAATCTTGTCTTTGCAAAATTTGTAAAAATCTGTTACGTGCTACATGGTATCTGGCAAGGCACTTGTGCATGTCATGTTGCTTTACTTTAAAGTTTTCAGTACAATAAAGAGAAGAATCTACATAGGAAATAAGACCACAGAAAAGACTTACTAGGTAGAAATATGAAAAAAATGTTTAATTTTAACTGCTGTAGTGGCCTACACCTACAGTCCCAAAACTCAAAGGCTAAAGCAAGAACATGTAAGCCCAGCAAGAACACTTGAAGCCAGTCCACACACTATCCTATCACTAAAAATATTTAAACAATTAACACTGTATAATAACTTCTTAAAAGCTAGAAAGCCTCGTATTTAAAAATATAAAACAAATGTTATTAAAAGCAAGATGAAGCAATTTAAAGGCTATATAGAGTTCTTTAAATACATTTAAAGTTTAAAAAGTTGAGTTCTAGGGCTGGGAAAGTGGCTCAGTGGTAGAGTGCTTGCCTTGCATGCCTGAGGCCCTGGATTCAATTCCTCAGCACCACATAAGCAAAAAGAAAAAAGCCAGAAGTGGCACTGTGGCTCAGGTGGTAGAGCGCTAGCCTTGAGCTGAAGAGCTGAGGGATAGTGCCCAGGCCCAGAGTTCAGGCCCCACGACTGGACCCCCCCACAAAAAAAAGGTGGAGTTCTAATTAAAAACATTCAGAGCTATCAGTGGCACTATAATCCTATTTACTCAGGAGGCTGAGATACAGAGGATCACCCAAGGTCAGCCTAGGCAGAAAATAGCATCACCAAAATAACCAACAAAAAGCTGGGCTAAAAGTCTAACTCAAATAGTAGAACACCAGCCAGACAAGCAAGCCAAGAAAGCACAAGGCCCTCAGTTCAAATCCAAATAACAGAAAAAAAAAAAATCTGTACAAAGTAATTCACTTGCCCCCCTCTCTCACTCTTTTGGGAGCAATGTGTGACCTAGGTGCTATCCCTGAGCTTTTTTGTTCAAAACTAACCTGCTTCCACATAACTCACAGCTCCTCTTCCAGCTCTTTGGTGGTTAACTGAAGGTAAGAGTATCATAGACTTTCCTTCCTTGTTCTGCTTTCGAACCCCAATGCTCAGATCTTAGCCTCCTGAGTAGCTAAGATTACAGGCATAAGCCCACCAGCACCCAACTCAATAAAACCTCTTTGTACTACACACACACACACACACACACACACACACACACACACACACACACACACACACACACACACACACACACACAC